GGAGAGAGAGAGAGAGAGAGAGAGAGAGAGAGAGAGAGAGAGAGCACAGAGCCCTTTCACATTATTCAGACAACCCCTGCTGGTACTTCAAAAGGTCCCTGCCATATATTGGCAAGGGTCCCGTCGGCAGGAGCGGGATGTCATTGAAAGGGTCCTCACTGGACTTGTAGGAGGGAGTAGGCCAGCTACATATGGTGTAGCTTCGATTTCAGGTCCGTGTTCCAGCAGTTATGGGTTACTGACATACTAACTCGGCATGTGATTTTGAGGGCTTCACTCCTACTCACCAAATGTGCAAAACTAGAATGAATCTTCTCCTAGAAACTGGATCCATACAGGCCATACGTTTTTCTTTTCTGCAAGTGCTGATGAGTGGAGCCAGGCCCTTAGGGCCACTGCACGCAAGTAAGAAAAGGAAAAACAAAAAAAGGAGACAGCTACTGTATGTGTGATTAGAATGAATCTTCTCCTAGAAACTGGAACCATACAAGCCATCCATTTTTCTTTTCTGCAAGTGCTGATAAGTGGAGCGAGGCCCTTAGGGCCACTGCACGTAAGAAAAGGAAAAACAAAAAAAAACGAGACAACTACTGGAGTGTTTGTGGTAAGTTCGTAACCCATAACTCTTGGAACACCGACCTGAATCCGAATCCGGGATATATTGCTAGCCTACTCGTGGTCTTCTAGCAGTCCAATGCACATCCTTCCAAAGGCATGGAAACCCTGCTAATTACTTGCAGGGTACTCTTTGGAAAGGAGAATATAACCAATGAGTAGCACGACGAGGCCCCAAAATATTCTCTTTCTGTGCACTTACCCTTTTTAAAAGGGAGGGACACTTATGGGTATATGACGACATACCCTTTCTGATTTTTTTTTTTTAATTATTTCTAAATGCGCCGCATCACGTGCGCGCGCACGTTTGCGCATGTGCGGTTCGGTGCACGTGCGCAACTTGCGTGCACGTGATGCGCTGCGACTATGCTTTGACTGCTCACTCGTCGGAGCTTTTTATTTTTTGACTAAGAAACGGAATCATGAAAGTCGAAGAAACACACCACCACAAGTGCCTTCTTGGTTATGGATGGACGGTGTTGGACACTCGTCTCAGGCGGTGGGTGTTCATGACAAGGCCTGGGTACTGTAATGCTGGCGCCTAATTTCGCAAAGGTGTCGACAGCAGCTCAACTTGGAGGGTCTGTATTTCAAGGTGAGATATGAAGTGTGCTATGTAGATAGCCAACATGAAAAATTGGACTAAGTAGATAGCTGGCTTTGCATGCTTCAGTCCCTTGCTCTAACCAGATAACCGCTAGTACGCGGCCCAACCCTTGCAGAAAGATTTTGTCACCACAAGCAAAACTCGGAGAAGCCACGCAGCCAGGGGCGCCGTTGAAAAAACAAAAAAGATCGGTGGCACCCGAAGTGGTGCGGGCTCTACCGGACCACAATGGCAGGCAGCGCCAGGCCGAAAAGGAAAAAGAAAGTGCACCACTGGCGGTTCGGCAAAAGTTGGTGCGCAGTTGAAGGCCGCCAGGCCCAGGTGTGTACAGGCGGCTAAAACCACCAGTACATGGCCCCAGCCTTTGCAGAAAAAAGAAACTCGGCACTTCACCAAAAATTTCAGTGCTTTTCGGGGCTTGGGGCAACCAGACCGAAATGCCTGCCACCGCCAGCCCAAACGGAAAGAAAAACGCCGCCCCGACACTTCTGCAAATTTTGGCGAACAGGGGGCATGTCGGTTCTGTGGCTTTGCAGGCAATTTACCCAGCCTGTCTGTCAAGGAAGGTGAGGTATGAAGTGCGGAAGGCTATAACTGTGCTATTATTATAGCAAAGCTATGATGGAATTCCAACGATTTAGTGCGAGCCCGGTGTTGTTCCCTTTCTTTGGTGCTCGGGTGTGCAGGCAACCAGAGTTTCGAGTACTGCCCGCCATGTTCATCGAAGGGATGTCGAGCTTGGCTTTTGATGATGTGCTCCCAGAGGACCCAGATTTCCCCTATATTCAAGGTGAGTGGATGAAGCGATTTCCGAATATTGTGTGTTTATTTCAGGTATTCCATCTCTTAGTGTTTCTTGTCTGGGCTACCAACCGGGGTGCCCGGGTCACCTTGGTTGCCTGGGTGGCCCGGCCAGTCAAGGGCGAGGGAAGGTCCCTGTGAAGGAAAAAAAACGAAATGAGAACTTCAAAAAAGAAAGCCAAAAAAAACCAACACTATGTGATGCAGAAAAATAAAGTGAACAGCTTTTGCCTCAGGGTCATATTGAAATTCTTTACCAAATTAAAATTGAAAATAATTCTGGGCTACCAGCCGGGCCTCACCTTGTTTGACCGGGTGGCCCGGCCGTGCAAGGACCAAAAATGGCCAGCGAAAAAAAAACAGAAAAAACTGAGAGAAATAAACTACGTGCTTCATAAAAATGAGCTGGAGAACTTTTGCCACAGGGTCCCATCGAAATTCTTTACCAAATTTATGAAATATAAGGGATGCCGGGCCTGGTTCCCAGTTTTGTTGAAAAATAATAATAAAAATCTTTACTAAATTTAAAATAGAGATTTTTTTTCTGTTTTTTTTTTTTTGGGCCCGGCCAGGCAAGTTGCCCCAGCCCACTCTGGAAGCCTATAAATAATTACTTTATTTTATTATTGGCCTGGCTGGGCAAGTGGTCCTGCCACTCCTGTAGCCTTTGATTCTTATCCTTTTTTTTGTGTTGGTTTGAAATTTGAACCATTTGGCATTTTTCGATTTACGCGTGTCATTGTTGCACACGGGCCATGCTAATCTTCCTTCTCCGTATCGTTCCAATTTTAATGGATGGCCAAAAAAAATTATATTCCAACTTATTCTGACTGATATATGCTGTAAATGGAAATGTTGCTGGGAAGTGCTCTGAATGTGGACTTTAGGGTTCAGCCACCTGATGAGTAGGGGTGAATCTCCGGCGAAACAGTTTGTTACAGCCCCTCGTTTCTTGTCCTCTTCTCCCTCTCTGCTGATGGTGTATCGGGCAGCTCTGTTTGACGATGTATAGTAAGTATAATACCTGTCCCACCGTTCGGACTCGTCATCAATCTATTTATGGTTCTACTCGTGACCTACTGGACTGGACTGCTGAGGACCTAAACCAATCTAATAGTTATGTTATGGATCTGTGTTTTTCAGTCCTAGGACCTAAACCAAACTAAACCAAACCAAACCAAACCAAACCAAACAAATGTACGTGTGTGAGGTAGTGGTTCAGCATCAGTCTGTCTAGTCCCACAAGGAAGTTGCAGGCCCAGTAGCACCTGTTTAGCAGTAGTTTAGGAAGAAAACTTGTGGAAAAGAAGTCCCTCTCGGTGTAGGCATGTATCAGTTACTGGTTAGGACTCAGAATTCTGAAAAATTACGAAAATGTCCTAGTCAGTGACACAGCCCGCTGGGAAACTGCAACCGCATTGCATCTGATTTTATACTGATTTCTCCTAAAAAAAAAAACAATGATTATACTTGCGAGCCCTCATGGGACCCTTATCAGACAAACACATGTTCTGGGCAGAGGCCTCCAGCAAGTCGGGGGCGGGCCTGAATATTCATCAGAGGCCAAAACTCGACATTTTCATATATGGGTACTCAGGCTGTTGCAGCCCGCCAGTTGGTTGAGTGGACGCGTGAGCCTCCCTAAGCTGTGTCGTACCGTTGGCCCAGGCCTTGGCAGTTGCGCCTGGGCACATACACACAAAGCAGGGCTGATACATCATGAAGTGGCTGCAGGCCTATGCAAAAGCGGTACTGTCGATGTACCTACCCCGGGGTCCTGCACAAATGCAGCAAATGACCCAAGTCAGGAGACTCGGGCCGTGCCCAACTGTAAAGGGCCCAGGCCCTCAACTGTAGTCTCGGGCCTGGGTGCAGGCACTGGCGCCCAACAGGAAGCTACTGGAAGCTTCCAGCCAGGCCACACACAGCAACGCAGGGGCTGACCCAAGTCTGGAGACTCAGGCCGTGCCCAACTGTAAAGGGCCCAGGCCCTCAACTGTAGTCTCGGGCCTGGGCGCAGGCACTGGGGCCCAGCAGGAAGCTACTGGCAGCTTCCAGCCAGGGCACACACAGCAACGCAGGGGCTGCCACTTCCATATAGGAAGGAGAGCAGCCAGGGCCTGGGGATTCTGGCCCATGCAGGCAATGCGGTCATGCTGCTGCGCTGCTGCGTTGAAAGCTGCGTGCTGCGCTGAGGCCAGAGCGCATGCGGGTGCGCGTGTGGTGAAGAGGGGCGCTGCTGGGCAGCTCAGCGCAAGCAGCCATAGCCGGGCTGCAGGGCGCTATGGGGTTAGAGGGCGGTTGGTGGTCTTCAGGAAGGAGGCGATGAGGGGAAGCAAGATACGTACCTGGTACATGGAAGAGGTCGGCTATGGTGTTGATTTATGTACATTGGTCTTCGAGAGTCGAAGTGAGCCTGTTGCCAGAATGCTGATGTAGGCAGGATAGTCAGTTAGTGTAGGCTGGGCGCTGGGCGCCAGACAGAGAGGAGCGACTTTGGGGACTGTGTTTGGTGTGGCCTGAGGGCTTGAACATTGGCTCGTTACTTCATTGTATTGCTCTGATTTGGATGGGATCTCGGTCCATTTGTGCTCTGTGTTTGTACACGGCTACATGGACATCTGTGTGATTTCGCAACCTGGCTTTCTGTATGTGAGGCTCAAGGCCCCGATACGCCCAACTGGGCCCTATTTTCAGAACAGTCGGCCGCCCTAAGTGAAGGCAGGCTCGACCAAGGCCTACAGGCCCATTTTTGGGGTCACCACGCAACTGGGGAAATTCAGGCAGTTGCGCAGCGCCAGTTGGTTGAGAGCACCCAGGCCAAGGCTGCCTCTTCCGTATGTAACTGAGGCAGGCCCTGGGCCAGATTCGCGACATGGACCGAACACAGGCCGCGGGCAGTTGAACACGGGCAACCACCACAGGCCCAGTGCCTGATTCGTTTGGACTGGGGCTCAGCCTCTCTGGGCCTACCGGAAGCTTCTGGGCAGGGACCCAGCACAGCCAAGATGCACGCAAGCAGGCATTCGGGCACTGGCTGCATGCTGCGCAAGCGCTGCTGCGCTAACGCTGGCCAGCGCTCCAGCGAGCTGGAAGGAGCAGCCAGCCATAGCCGAGCTGCGCTGCTGTATGCTGGATGGGGCGCATCGTGGTCCTTGGGTGCACGTGGCATCTGTGAGTGGGGGATGGAGGTTGTGAGTGATACGAGAGACATATCTGGTGCTTGAGGCGAACGACATAGTCTGGGCGCAGAGCGCCAGATAGGATGTCGACATTGGTTCTTTGTTGATGATGATGAGACTATTCCAACATTGTCACCTATGAGCTTTTGCTGTGCTCTTATTCGGTGGGGCTCGCGTTGCGATTCTGTTTTTGGTTTGAGGTCACGACTATCTGGTCTTATGTGTATGATGCTGCTTGGTTTCTGAAGTTCGCTATCGCTCATTTTCCTTGCATGTATATCCCACTCATATTCCTTGCATACTAATTTGTAATTTCTCAATTTTTTGAATTTTTTTTCGAGTATGCTTCTAATGCCTTTAGAGGAAGTTCAGAGT